AAAACTGGTTCTTGACTAACAACACCCAAACGAGAACGAAGCCATTGGAGATTTAATTTTCGAATATCAACACCATCAAGAAGCTAGTTTATATTAATATCGTTTATATAAGTAATTGAATTATATATATAGAAAAGAGATACATACCAATTCTCCATGTGTAACATCATAAAATCGTTCTAATAACTGAACGATTGTTGATTTTCCACATCCGGATGCACCTAAATCAATTATATTATATGATTAATAAACTAGAAAATTTAATTTATTTGAACATACCAACTAGAGCTATACGTTGACCTGATTTAATAGATAATTGAAGTTTATTAAGAACAAGAACTGCTGGACGACTTGGATAAACAAATTTAACTTGATTAAAGTCTGTTTCTCCACTAAAATTAGTCTAAATAATTCAAAATTAACATATATGATTGGAAGACAATAGTTTTTTTTCTGTTACCAATTCTTGTCCTTTATTCGATCCATTATCAATAGTTGGTGTTCGATCAAATAAATCAAAAAATGCGTGAGCAGCAGCAAATGATTTACCAATACGTTCGGCTCTGAAATGATAAACAATAAAAACAAAAACAAAAAAACATAAATTGTATATCTTACAACATTCCAACCATTTTTAGTGCTTCTAATGCAAACATTCCAAAAGCAGATATCCTATGAAAATAAAAATAAATAATAAACCTTAATTTAAAGATTATCAAAGTTATTGTTTTAGTTACATAACAACATCGCTCATGTCCATTTCGTTTTTTTCAACAAGAACCAAAGCACGCCAATACAAAAGTCCCAAAGTTGCTGAGTCCATCGCCCAGTACAATCCAAGTACTATTGAAAACATTGCCTCAGGTTTCCAAAACATTCTATACAAAAGAAAATTTATTGAAGATTGAAGTCAATATTTGTAAAAAGGACAGCTATATTCGATTTTATTAGTTCATTATCGATATAGGAGAGTATATTTTTTGACAAAATTAATCAAAATCATTAAGAATACTCAATGAAGTAACTACAGTATCAAATTTCACTCAAGTTTCGATTTTACTATTGTTTTCTCAGTTAGTTTTTACGATTTTTCATTACTATATAGAAAAAAGCTCTTTTTCAAAATATAATTATAAATTCTCATAGGATTTAAAACTTTCAACCACTTTTCATCTTTTCATTTTGTCTTTCATACAGAACTTCTTTCATAATAATGAAGAATCTTAAAAAAATTAACTAAGAAAACGATGACAAAAAGACTAACATTAATACTTGATCAACCATATTCGTATATTGTCGTGAAACTTCATGTTCCATTGATAACTGTTTTACTGTACGCATATTGGTAATAACTTCAACAGCAAGCTAAAAAAGACAAAACATAAAATGAACATTTAATAATCATTTCATCAAATAATATATATAATAACATAATTCTATTATACATTAAAAGATTAGGGATAACAAGATGATTTTACCGTGCTAGCTTGAGAGTAAATGAGATCCGATTGTGTTTTTAACCATGAACTCAACCGTATTTGGATAATACTGATGATCAACAGGAGAACGAAAGGAATACCTATAATTATTGTTAATTGCCAGTTGAAAAAAAGGCCAAGTACGAAGCCAAAAACAGACAAGGATAAAGTTTCACAAATAACACCTAATCTTGTACCAACCATGTCTTCAATAGCAGCTGCATTAGAGGAGAGGTGAGTACATATA